ATATTCAAGACACTTGTGTAACACTGATTTTCCCAATGCTCCTGTGAGGAGCAGTCTATTTTCAGCACGACTGAAAATTCTTTCTATATTCTTTCTATATTGACTCTTCCGAGGGTCACTGTAATTTCAGCATCTACTGAGGCCCCAAACCCTTGCTATTTGAGATTATTACGGCCCAGGATTCACTGCTTAATACCAATACACCCTTTTTTCCTCTTGATTTCATCCCTTATTTATTTGACCGTTAGCTCATGGTTTTAACACTGGCTTTGGAAACCTTCACTCTTATCTTGTTTTTCTGGTTCTTTTCTTACAATAGCTATAGAAAAAAAAAAGACAGCACAAAAAACACCTCACGGAGCTCATTTTCTTATCAGGCTTTCTTATCCCATTTGGTAATGAAAACAGTGTGTGGGTCAGCCTGGATATGGGAAGGATTTGTACTAATGTCCAGGCAATATCCAGCTGCTGCTTTTTACACAGGGATGTTTACTGCCACATTTCTTCAGCTCATTCTTCACTTTTACTTCCCAAGCCATCTGACATTGAAAATACAAGATTGTTTTCCAAAGCTGCAAAGAAATAAATCTTGAGCAGTTCATCTGCAGTGCAACCCTTCCCCTGCACCCCCAGCCCCCAGCCAGGTTGGGGCGTACCCCACAGCTTAGCAGGAGGAAGGAAAATCAAGCTCAATTTTGCTGTACAATAAAGTGGTTTTTAGCTCTGGGGTATCACTGAGTGATTCCAGGAAGACGAGAAGATGACAATTTGGATTTCCAACTACACTTTTTTGGTGGAGTAGCAATAGAGAAAATGCAGCAATTTACAGTCTCACAAAAGATGCAGGCAGCCTGGAAAGGCTAAAGTTTTACAACTGTGACACAATATGAAAACCACCACTTCACAGGCGGTATTTTCTACACTTGCTTCTGCAGAAGAAAAATTACCTCCTAATTCAGGTTCATTTAAAGTGCAGCTGATCATCAACACCTAAAAGGAATTTTCATTTGTGAGGGTAAAAAAAAAAAAAAAAAAATCTTTCCTGTCCATTTGTGGAATTTATGTCAGATCTATAATGCAATAAGCTCAACACTCCATCAAACATTTTCTATTTAACCTGAAAGGGGACTAAGTCAAATCACTTATATGCCTATGTGTATGATTTGCAAAGAGGAGCAAGTGCAGCCACAGTGCAGATGGGAAATACCATGGAGTGATTCTCATGCCTTCGGAGTAAGTATTAAGGACCTCAAGTGCTCAATCACAAAGCAGTGATGAAAAGGCGAGATCTCCTATAAAACATCAATAGGAAGGGCTTAATGTGAAGAGTTCAGATTTACTGGGCTCAAGTGAAAAAAAAAAAGAAGAAAAATGGCAGATTTTAGCTCAGGATTAGGCTGATGTCATGACCCAAAACCAGGAGCATGGCCTTTTAAATATTTATGCATACCCTTATAGCAAAATCCCCCACAACTGAATAATGATCTCTGTATGTCTTTTTTATGAACCATATGATAGAGTTTAACAGCTAATTATAATGCCACTACGGAGATATACTGAATGGATAAAATATTGGAGGAGATACCTCCTTTTAGCATCAGGTCAATCAAAGCCAAGAAAAAGCCCTGTGCTCATCTATTCTCTGGGCAGGATCCAAAAATTAATTTCGTTACTAATACTGTATGAGGGCAAGTGTTAGCCATCAGCTCCAGGACTATAACCTCAATATACAAATACATCTGGAGCTTCTGCACGCAGTTGGCTGTGGGAGAGGCGGTGGGGCTGGGTGAGGACCGGAGGACACCACTGCCTGGCATTTCTGTACAAGCTACTCTAGAAAAGGAGATACAAAGTTCATAGGGCTAGACGGAGGGGAGTCTGCAAACCAGCAGTGAAGGGATTTCAAGGGAAAAGTCCACTTAACTTCAGGTTCCTGCTTTTTAAACTCTCTGCTGGAAATCTCTGGATCAATCTCCACAGTTCTCTGTTGCTTTCTCCCCTTCTGAATTCTGCAGGATTGTTCCATTAGAGTTACGTATTGTCTGAAGGGATAAGACACCTGCCTGACGTGCACTTAAAAAATAGGATAGCAAAGCAGAGTAGTTTAATTGGTTTAAGTGATGATGAGTCCACTACTTACTGCCCTATTACCTTATTACAAAGGACATGTAAAAATGTCTTGAGTTTAAGAAAAATGTAATGGAAAATTAATTAATTCTATCTATTTGGTTAAGGAAAGTAACAGTTATTCCAACAAGGGAATTTGCTAAGAACCTTTTAAATCTGAGATGTCCGTAAGTGGGGTATAATTAGCAGACGTGGTCCATAAGGGAATTTGCTCAGCTGGCCTGCAGAGAGCTCGGCCACTTTTGCTCTGCCAGTGGGGACTAGGGAGGAGCGACTGTGCAGGGATGTGTCAGTCATCTTTTCTAGGTTTGTTCAAATAGAGAAATACATCAGAAGCTTCGTAAAGTCACAAATATCTTCAAAATTTCCCTTTCATGGGTATCTAACTATGGCTGAGACATCAGCCATGTATGTTCAGCCTGGAGAAGAGAAGACGCCAGGGAGACCTTATAGCAGCTTCCAGTACCTGAAGGGGGCCTACAAGAAAGCTGGAGAGGGACATTCTACAAGGGCATGTAGTGATAGGACAAGGGGTAACGGCTTTAAACTGAAAGAGCCGAGATTTAGATTAGATATAAGGAAGAAATTCTTCACTGTGAGAGTGGTGAGGCACTGGAACAGGTTGCCCAGAGGAGTTGTGGATGCCCCGTCCCTGGAAGTGTTCAAGGCCAGGTTGGATGGGGCTTTGAGCAATCTGGTCTAGTGGAAGGTGTCCCTGCCCACAGCAGGGGGGTTGGAACTAGATGGTCTTTAAGGTCCCTTCCAACCCAAACCATTCTATGATTCTGTGATCGTGCTCATGGCTAGTATTAAATACTCAGAATTGCTGGTGAAATGAAGCGCTCTTTCTTGACATCTCTTTTTCAATGCTTTCTCTCCCCACTCCCATTTTAAGTGAAAAGAAGAGAGATCTGGGTTCCAGAGGAGTGGGTACCAAAAGAGCAACCTAGTTTTGAGGGATCACGTGCAGGACCAGGATCAGTTCTGCACACCCCACTGCCCAGAGGCACAAATAGAAGTTAACAAAGGAACCCTTTCTACAAGAAATTGGTAGAGGAAACAACATCAGTCTGGCTAATGACTCTGAAGACAAGTACATTGAGAAAAGCAAGAGAAACCATACATAGAGAGAAATAAATAGCCCCCAACACCACAAAACAGCCTGAGGCAGATCAGAAATAAGTTATACACAATTCTAAAAAGTAAAAATTACAGTTTCAGTATAATAGTGAAAACAATGGTTTGAATGCCATATATAACCCAGCAACATGTTTTCATCTATGTGACAGAGTCCAGAAAAACAGATTTTTTTTATTGCTTCAGCATTTGCTTTATTTATTTCCATTGCTTTATGGCAGATTATTGCCATAAACTTTCAGTTCTTAATTTTGCCTAATAACAAAGTTCTACACATTGTTTGTAGGAAACATTGCATCTGCTTACGAGACATTACTTACTCAAAAAAAGGCAATTTTATTTTTCAGGATGACGGGATTCTTTATGAAGATAAATAACATGCCCTGACTTCCTCTCTCTTTACCACGCCTCCCAATTATAATGCTTAAAATGTAAACTCTGATTGACTTAGAGAACGAATAGTCCTTTGGAAGTAGCCAGGCTTACTCTCTAGAGTAAGACAAGTAGAATTGGATCCTCATAAAGTAAAATGCAGTACTAGATAAAGATGAATGGACTCTGTTATATATAAAAAATAATTCAGCAGCACTATTTGGCAAAAGCAGTTCTCCAGCAAATAAGGATTTATCTACTTCTGTCTGCTGTCAGAAACTGGATTACTTGCTGATGGATAGCAGGTGCTTCCAGTAAAAATGCAGAGATGTTTTGGTAGCTCGCTTGTTGCAGACATCGACCTAACATATGCTGTATGGCAAGAAAGCTATGCTCGGAAATAGAATAGAAAAGAGTAAAGCTGAAATCTCAAAGGCTGCCTGAGCCAAACTGGAGATTATCCAAGCTAAAGGAGTAGGGCAAACAGTTAAAATGAGATATCAGCATGCAACCCCTTTTTTTTTTTCCTTAATAGCTCTAGCAGTTAGGGTTACTAGCGCAAATATTGTTACTCAAATTACACCAATTCACATGAAGAACAATTCTAGCACTGGGCCTACTTTACGAACAAAGCAGATACCATATATATCAGACAAATATCCTCATTTGATCCGACAGTGAAGTTTTAAAACAGCTCTCTAGAAATGGTGCTGCTCTGGAAACACACCCAGAGACGAGCTGGAGAGGCACCGTTCCCTCTTGCTCTGCCATGTCCCAGGCTGCCATGCCCCCCACCCAGCAAGGACTGTTCCACTACAGCCATACGCAGCCATTTAATCTAACCCTGAAACCAGCCCACAGCTTCATTCAGCCTTGGGTTTTTTTCAATAGTAATTTTCTTTCTGTTCTTTAATAGCACGCTTGCTATTAAATTTTTAAGTAGGTTGCACACTGGAGTGGATTGCAATCAGTTTTTTTCCAGCATACATAAATAGTCCTTTCATTATCGAAAAGGCAAGCCTTGAAACAAGAGTCAAGCATTTGGTACTGGTTCAAGTTACTGTAGCATAACAGGAGACTGGAAACAAGACCAAGTGATTAATTTGGCATCGCATTTAATTCATTTTTATCACTTGTTAACTCTGATTTGAAGCTATTGCCTCGTCCTGAATCTTTATTCCAGATTGTCAGAATGAAATACTAGATTATTATCATAAAATTGTATATATCCACTTTCCATTCTGCTAGAACTTACAGATATTTCTTCGAGGTATGGGACAGTCCTGTGCCCTCTATTTTTTCCTGAATTAAAAGTCAGTGGTTCAGATGAGCGGTACCGGAAACTTTTCCCCCATCACTCTTACCTGTTTGAGACAGAAGTGGTGTGTAAGGGACTTTCGGTTCTATTGCACTCATGGGTGGAGGTAGCAAGGGGTTGGCAAAGCTGCGGAGAGGATGCGTAGGGCGGACGCAGGCGGTGGGGATGGTTCTGCTCGGGGCGTCCTCATTGTTGGAGTGCTCAGGCTGCGTCTGCGGTAGCAAGGACGGCTGCTGTGGTGCTGGTCCTTCATTTACAGCTGCAAGAGAACAGTCAAAAAAAAAAAAAAGAGAAAACAAAGAACTATTATTGATGTATTTTTTATGTCCCATTTCCTACTTTTATGGTCATTTTCAGCAGAAGGGACAGCATTAGCCTCCACCCTCCAAGAAGGTGCAGGAAATGTGTAACCAGCTCCATCAAAAGTTATTGGCAGACAAATTAAAAACCAGATGTTCTCAGAGCGGCCGTGTGCCGTTTGGAGCTCAATACATCTTCCTTTAAACAAAAAACAAAAAACAAGCACGATATTTTTATCTCCTTCTTTCTATCTTTCCTCTCTATGTGCTTTTAAATATTAAAAATCAATAAACACGTCAATACATCATGTGAAGATTGAAACAAGCTACAACTATGGAAACTCATTATATTCAGCATGACAGTACTGTTCTAGTCATAGTGGAGAAAAGCTAGAGACAAAGAAAGGACTTAATTAATTTCTACATAACCAATCACCAATATTGTTTTTCCCTGAGACAGCTGTAACATTTAGTGTGCCAAAGCAGTAGGTTGCTGTTTTATTAGCCTATATACAAAGTCAATTCTTCAGAGATTTAAATGTTGCATGTCAACCTTCTAATATAAAAGACAGCTTCCCTGTGTTCTGCAGCATTTCTTAAAAGAAGCTTTCAGTATCAACCTCTGTCATGGACTTTCCATGCCAGAAAATGGAAACAAATGTAGTATTAAGGAAAACAAAGGTTGAGACAAAGAGAAAAGCCCTTTATTTCCACAGCCCTCTAGAAACCCATGTGGTACCCAAACTATAAATTATGGTAGGATTATGATTACAGAGGAGTTCTTAGGAGGGGTATGGTCCACAGTGTTGTCTAACATCACCAGTACTTTGAATGCAGAAAAAGGTCCTCTCAAAACTTATTAGATGCAAAATCTTCTAATCCTGTAGTCTAAAATTAGAGTATCTCCTGTGGAGTGTGTGCAGTGAAGAAGATGCTGCGTAGGAACAGGGATAGAAGACAGCAAGAGGCGGGATGCACACTCACACATCCCGATGGCATCACCCAGATTTATGGCGCTGCTCTTTACCTAAGACTGACTCTTGGTCATGAAGAGAAACTCACTGCTGCTGTTTACACCAGGAAAACATACTGTACCACATTCCTCAGACTTAGAGAAGTTTAAGAAAATAAACAAAGACAGAAAAAAGAATTCCAGAAAAACCCAGATTATTTTGTTCTTTTAAGGGAACTGTAATTGGAATAAATAACCATCTTCAAAGTTTTGAAAACTTCAAAATCTTTAAAATCTCTTCCTGACCACTATGCCTACTATGACAAGCCGAGTAGTTAAGAATTAATTACAAGGAGGACTGATAAGCGCAAGTCTGCTGTGGTGCTTTATGGATGGCAGCAAGATATTCTTTTCCCCACACCACAGGAAAGAGCCTGCCACTTCTACTTCTATCTTCTTCCTACTGCAGGACGAGAATAAGGGAATTGGATCGAAAACACCATCTCATATCTTCTTTTCCAAATCCTGCATCCCGGGTGCCACTGAGGCTTCCCCAGAGCTCGGGTCCGTGGCCTCTCCCAGCCCCTGCCCCACTGCCCCAAGGAGCAGCACTGGAGAAAGTTCTCCCCTTGGTGAGAGTGCCTGCAAAGCCTGACATTATTTGCAAGCAGAACCGTGAAAGGAAGCAAACTGGTTAGCGAAAAGCCTGATCACAACAGGAACTTATTTCATTTGAGCGTGTTGGTGTAGCCCAGTGTCTCCACAGCACGTATGCCAGCCAGGATGGCTCACAGCACAACAGTTAATCATGCAGCTCGTGGCAGGAAACAGAAATCTAGGAAAAGCTCAACCTTTTACTGAAGAAAACAACCTTCCTGACACACAGATATCAGAATTAGTTATTATACTGGGACCCAAAATGCTCCAGAGGATCGGGTTTCTTTCAAAGCCTGCTGCAACAACCAGAACTCGTTGTGCAAATAACATGCAATTACACAGCCAAGTCAAATCTCAAGGCATTTTATAATAATTAATGTCAAAGTATATAAGTAATTACAGCCTACTAAGTGGCAAAACAATTTTGAAAAATGGAAGTGAGGATTTCTCCTCATCTCCACAGCCCCATTGCTTGTTCCTATGGCAATATCGCAGACATCGCTGGCGATATTGAACACCACGGATAGGAACCCAACTACAGGACCAGACCAAGGTCAAAATCATCTACGGTTTGTAAAAGTTTCCTTGACTGTGTCTCATTTCCCTTGTTTTCACCTTCAAGGCTCTTTGCATTATCATGCCCTTACCCTAGCTCTGCTTTTCCTGCTTTTCCATTTCCTTCCTTGCCCAGCAGACCCCTCTCTGTTTTCTTCTCCGGGGACTAACATTCTCCTTAAGGAGGCCAGAGATACTGAGGTTATTTGTAACAGGGTAGAGCAGAATGATCGTTTAGCTCATCCCACCCTTACTCACTGCTCACACATTCAAGAAGGTGTCTCAGCCTGCTGCTCTAGGCAGGGGCATTGGGCTCTTCTCCCCCTTTTCCCTGTCCCAGTCAAGGAAGATGCAAACCAGTATGTGAGCCTCATAAAGGTATACATCTGAGGTTACAATGCTTTCTGGAGCAAATCCTTGGCGAGGCCTTTGTTTAAAGTAAACAGAAAGCCTTTTGTCTATGTTCTTAGCCTCAAAATGTCTTTCAACACGTTTGTCAAAGTCTGAACTTCCTATGGAGCCCAACACTTTTCATTGTGTCCTTAAGCACAGTTCTTTTGGGATGCTCCTGACCTGCTTGGAGAAACAAGTAAACCAGACACTGCTACTCGCCATCAAATACCTTCTTGGTATTTTCTGCAGTGGTGCTCTCAGATAACAAAGCTTTATCAGCTTTATCAGCTAGCATCAGCACAACAGCCTCTGCATTAAAAGCCTTTGTATTAAATTATTGGTTTAGCGTATGGATATGTTTTATCTTATGGGTTTAGTTGTAAAATCTGGAGACCTACATAACCGTTATTACATAAAAGGTATCAGGTTATCCTCCAGCTATTACTGACGAGAAAGGTGTGATGACTTTATTAAAATTAGAAGCTAGAGTTGAGATTTAAATATGAAGGTAAGTGGTCTAATGAAGGTGCTTCATGCTTGAGAAGACTTTGTTCTAAAATAAGATGTGCATGCTTGCAAACATAATGAGAACCATCAATTTGCAATTCACTCAGGTGCCTGCAGGAAGAGAGGATGGATTGTTTATTTGAAGGATGGATGAAGATGAGCACATCGCTACTGCTGCCTACATCGCCTACATCAATCCCCCGCCTAGCAGCCAGACATTTGCCTTCATACACCTCAACAGAAGTGCCCAAGAATTCTGATTATTTCTACTAATCCAATTATTACCTCATTTTTTTACAGAAAGTAGACTCCCAATTGACCTTTAAGATGAAGCAGATAATACCATGCTGCATTCCAGTTGTGATCTTTTGCTCTTGAATTTAGTAAAATACTTTGACAGAGTAAAGAAAATATTATGCTACACATGAAGATCTGTTCTAAAGCCCAGTAAAACCAATTAGGGTCTCTCATTGCTTTGGGGAAGCCTTGGATAAAGCCCTACTTGCATTCATTTCACATGTGAGGAACACTGAGAATGAGCTTGCTTTGAACTTCAGTAGCCATGGACACTGCTCCCCAAACCGAAGTACAAGTATCCGATACAAAGTCTTTTGATCTTCCCTTTGCTTCTGCGTAATTGTTGGTTGGTACAATGCTGTTAAGCAGTTTAATGAATTTAGGTCTCTGAACGTATTTTTAGATTGTATATCTTCTATTAAGAAGTAACACTGGAAATATTCCCACTTGGATTTGCAGCTATTGGCTCAGCCACGGTTTGAGGTAATGAAAAATCAATACGGATTGAACACAAAAGGTAGTAACAATTCAAAGTACGTGATGGTAGATGGGGACTTAAAATGCCTGAACTTTATTCCATATCTGCTAATGACTTTCTGTGTATTTTTAACTTACACAGGTTATAAACATCATGTGATCAAGACTATATACCTGTATAATGCTGACAAACCAGGGCCTCATTCCTGTTGGGATCTCTGGATTGCAGCACAAGCAGTAATATTTTTTTAGCATGTTTATTGTCAGGTTACTACTCTCGTGAAATTTTCGGTATATCCCAAAGAATACTTTTGAGAAATACTTCTAAAAAATTGCTAATCTAAATCTGAATCATGGGAACACGGTAGAAGCACTTTTAAATCATATGTGGTTAAATCCAAAGAATTACATATCGAAAAAAATAAATTGCTTTGCTGATGATTGTTTGTAGAGGAAAACAAAGAAAGCAAGGCACTAAACAGGACCTTACCCACAACTCCATTACAGCACTCATCCCGCTTCCATGAGATGTGGCATCCCCTGCTGAAACCAAACTGGACCATTGAATAAAAATGACCATTTCCACTAAGTCCAGAATGCAGCTACTATGGCAGAAGGGATTTAAGCTTCCCAGCTGGATGGGCTCACTGCAGAGCTGACTGTTCACAGCCAGAAAGCCAGCTCCAAGACGAAACGTTTGGAAATATTTGCTTTAGTGCATCTCACTTTAACAGATTAATGAAGGTAAAGTTATCTCCATTCTTTAATATTTTTCTATGGCTATCTCAAGCTATTAATACAATTGTTGTTTTATTGTTCTGGTTTACACAATTTTCAATCTTTCTTTTTAATACTGGAAAATAATATAGCTTTATTTAAAAAAAAAAAATGTATTTTCTGAACATCTCCAAGTTTTCATCATGTGGATTATTAGGACAATACACCAATGAATGGCTCCCTCTAAAAATGGTGCTTTTGGACCAGTTGTAGTCTCTAGGGTCAGCCTGAAGAAAAGTACTCTGCCTCCTGTAAAGGTGTGGTCGGGATGGGACCAGAACACAGTCTGTTTCTACTGACCAGTATGTGGATGGGGCACGATGGGGATGGGGCACCCCAGTACCTCCCAAGGGGGATATAGTTTCCTCCTGCCCTCTTCTTTCGCATGATGGCTCAGCATCTCCAATAGCTGTGGCAGAGGAAAAAACCAGAACATCTTCTTCCCTCTGAAACACATGGCAAACTAGGCATGTCACCATCTTCTCCTACCTGTCTTGATAAAATTGTAAGCAGCGGGTGCGACAGAGCTCTGGAGGAGCCTGGAGGAGAAGGCAAACCCTGGGAAGGATTGCTGGCCAGACAACAGTCACTTTATTATGGCTCAGAGATGTTTTCTGTCTGGAAAAAACTGACATTTAGCAATTGTATTTTATGGCTGGTAGTGTCACCAGCAGTAATCAAACAGGCAAGGCAGCTTATTATTCGAGCTCTGGCTGGGGCCTGACTCTCCTTTCCATTTTCTTTCGTTTCCCCTTCAGTAGAACATTTGTCCTAAAGACAAGTTGCAGCACTCGAATCTTTGGGTCAATGAAAAAGGCCTTCAGAAAGAGAGGAAGGTGTTCGAGCATTGTCTGTGCGGCGGGATGCAGAGCAGCAGCCTTGCTAATGGCATGGCATATGATTTATTCAGGGATTGCTACATCTTGATCAATAGGGTGCTCGGTCATGCCGCACCGCAGGTAGGCTCTGTCTCAGAGGAATTATTGCTGGGTGTTTCTTTTTCGGACACAGCTGCAATTGGTCAAGCGTCAAGAGAATTTTTCACTGAGGGGTAAAACACACGAAAAAGCTTTATGTATTGTCTCTATAGCCTCTTTTGCTCTCAACCGCATGATCATCTTAAGAAAACAGCCAAAAAATAAACAAACTCAAAGTGTTAAGAGTAATTTTGTTGATCTATCCCCATCCTCTGCTGCAGCGAGGCGATCAGTGAGGCAGCGGGAGGTGAGCCACAAACGAAGCAGCTGCTTTTCCGTCGGATGCGCTGGAGATTGCCCGCTCCTCCAGACGGGCTGACGTCGCCAGCGCTGGCATTCGGCAGCAACTGCACCGGCGCTGAGAAAAGCTTCGGGCATCGTATCAGAAATATACTTTTATATCCCTTCATCCCTCCTCGGACTGCAAAGTAATGAACACTGCCATTATATAAACCTAGTGAACCGCTTGGCTGGTTGTGACAGTGTCAAGTGTCACTAGAAAACAAACACTACTTCCACGTCCTTGTCTGTGCCTTCGCTTCATTGCCGTGGTGGGGAAAATGTAAGGCACAGCGAAGGAAGAGAATATTTCATCTGGAGGTATTTTGTATGATCTGGGAGCTCTGGAAGTCAACAGCCTTTGCTAGAGAGCACAACTGCAATGGCTGTAACAGGTTGTCACTGTACATTGTAACGGCTTAGATAATTTTCGAAATACCACAGAGTATTTCTTCATTACCCAGACCTCAATAATCTGAAACTAGCCGTTATCCAAACAAGGCTATGTCCACTGCTTTTGAATTATTTAATGGGAAATTGCCTAAATTACCTGAAATCTTCACTGCTTGAGCTTTTTCAAGGCCCATCAGGTCTTCTGAATAATTAAAGCTGTTTTGTATTCAGGCTTCTTGCAGAAAACTTTTGTGTATTAGCAATCGTCTGCTCAACTCTCAAGCACGCTGCACTTGAAAGACTTGGGCAAACCCATACCCTTCTATACAGACCTTCCCGCAGGAACAGCCATTGGACCCAACAGGATTTCAAAGACATTCCTCTTGGAAAATCTCATCTCCAGACTACTGGAGACTACATGTGACTACTCCAGACTACATGTGTCAATCTGGCGGCTGCACCAGGCAGAAGCTGGATGCCCCAGGGATGTGTGATTTTGGGGGTTGTGTCTAACCGATCCCTCAGCGATCGCGTCCCAGCCAGCCCTCCGTATGGTATTTGCCAGCTGAGCTGCCCGCATCCCTCAGGCTTCAGCAGAACTAGGGAAACCTCCCTCACTTTCACAGCTGGACTTTGGATCTGAGGACTGAAGATGCTCAGGTCCTTTACGAGCAAGCCGAGATGATGACGGCTGAGCAAACAATTCAGTCTTCAAATTTTTCTTCTTCCGTCTCCATGATCAGGCACAGGGTAGTTAATGTTTTTTTTTTTTCCCCAACATCTAACGTATGCCAAGCAAGAAACTGAATCTACTTTGTTTCTGCACATTGCATTTGTGGCAGATTTGGTATTAATTTAAGCAGCAGATCAAAACCTGATTACGCCAGCGAGGCCCTCCAGAGGAAATTGCCATCTAGCTTTGAAAGGACCCCAGCAACCACACTAAAGAGAGGGGAATGGCATTAGGATGATGACTAGGACACCTGGACCCACCTTTTACCTACAATCCCACCACTGGATTTCAATCACCGGTCCCCAAGGACCTGTCTGAACTGACTGAAAGCAACAATCAAATAGGAAATATCAGTCATTTCAAGATGAGTTCCCTGTGGACCAGCAGCACAGACTCTCTGTGATGTGAAAAAAATACGTGTAACAGATTGACATTAATCTGTCAATAATTCAGACTTGATATGCAGTAGAGTTAAGGGAGAATTATAAAAAAAGATGAGCCCTCCAACTATAATTAATATGCCAGAGCACGCTCGTTAGGCTTGAACAAAGAACAGATGGCTGCCGGTGGGGAAGAGGCTTACAAGTAAGTTGTGAAGGTGAGGCTGGGGGCTCGCGCTGCGCGCACGCTTTCCCCAGATCACGATAAGGTGAAGAATAGGTATGGGAGCAGACAAACCACAAATCTATTACTGCAGAGGAGCAAATACGAATGTAGAGCTCACTCTAGAGAAGGAGACGAGTGATGTGAGACAGGATAACAGTATTCACATGTATAAAGGATCTGCAAAAGGAAGAAAAGAAACTGTTCTCTACGCCCGCTACAACCGAATCAAGAAACAATTGGCTTAAATTTTAGCAAGTTAGATATTAAAGAAAATGCTTCTAGCAGTGAGGGCAGCTAAGCCTGGGAAGACACTGTGTGGAGAGGTCATGTAAGTGCTATCAGGGATGATTTTAATGAGTGACGACACTAGATTCTGCCTTGGGATGAAGAAGAGCTCTTGAAACCCACGTTTTTCTGGGAGTATCCTTATGAATAAAACAAAGGAAATTAAAGTGGAGTGAAATGACTGACAGACTTGCAGAAAAGACAGGATTGGATTAGAAATGCAATGACTTTTAACTTTTAAGGTGTTCAGTATAGATTGGAAATTGCAACTGGAGCTGCTGCTGGAGAAGAGGCAGCCCGCAGCCAGCTGGTGTTACCAGACCAGGCTTCTCCTGGCTCCCGAGAAGCAGGGCAGCATGAGTTGCGTTGGCTAGAGCTTCTATGTCCCAATGATAGAAAGCAACCTATTTCCAAGCATTTTAATAGCAAAAAGCACTGTACTGACTTCTTCCTGCTCCAAAGGTCCTGTCCACAGAGAGGGTCGGGAATGGCACCGGCCGAAGGGTGAACTGCGGGTGCGGGTATCCGCAGGTCGGGGACGGCAGGATCCCGGGGTACTGGGCACTTTCTAGCGTTGGCACCGGAATGGCACTGACCACAGCTAAAAGGAAAGAAGGAGAGAGAGATTAAATGACTGCTTTTGGAAAATTAAAAAAAAAAAGCCCTTGGAGGGTCAGTAGGGAACCAGAAGCAACCACGTTTCCAAAGCAAAGTACCCGAATGCTCGGTGTAAAGGATGCCTCTGCCCACAGAAGCCACCTCTGTATACAGAAATACGCCTCTCTGGTGTACACTGGATAATTGCAGGTGCAGTCTGCAATTACTTATCTGTAAAATTAAATAGCTTTTTGTCTGTGTTCCAGTTATTCAGCCACATTTTGGGGGGTGCTTTATATCCCTTGACAAATAAGTGAGAAGGAATGGATTAGGCAATTTAAGGGCTTATTTCAGTTGTCTAAGCACAGGTCCCTGGTGCCATTTCTGATGCCTTAGGAGACCCTGATGTCCTCAGCTGCTGCTCTGGAGGAGTGCGGGCTCCTGCGACTCTTCCACCATGTCTGCCAGCTTCACACCAATGTCCCTGACACCCTCGGATGTCCCCAGTGGCACAGGACCCCCATGTTCACCCATCAGCCGAGGCTGTCTGGGCATCATTCCCCACTCAGGAATGTCCAAGCCTGCAAGGAACAGGGGTGAGATGTGCCAGCAAACCCGTAGCTGAAAGTCTGAAGTTGAAGTTGAGTTCTTGAGTGGAATTTAAGTGACACTTTGATTTGAAAACTAGGATCACAGTGTGCTAAATTCAGGCTTTCCTGTGAGTTATCTCCTTTATTTTTAACAGTCAATGCTTGAAGAGGGGGTGATAATAATGCTATACAAAGCATAAATTTCTTTGTAGCTTTTAGGAAAAACTTGGAAATTCTCACTGAAGTCTTGCCCAGCTAAACAATAAGCAGAGATTTTTGGCTCATTGATGATAAGGTTTGGCTTATCTAGCACCTTTCACACATGAATTATAAACAATGCTGTAAACTTTAAGATAGTCATTACAATTGCTCTAGCTCCTACTACATCCATTACACAGAGTGGCGAACTGGGCTACCTGCCCAAGGTCACACAAGAAGCTATGACGGTGCCAAGGCTTTATGGGGGTATTTTTAAGCACACGGCTTTCAGCAAGACAACGCTGCATTTCCAGAGGTAACAGACAAGTGCGGAGATGAAGAAAACTCAGGAAGAAATGCTAACCGGGGTGATTGGATCTTCAGATTTGTCTGGGTCCAATTCACCCACTCTTAGAAGAGAATTTCTACTATTCAGACATTTCATTTTGTCTGTATAAGACATTTTTATTGACAATATTTATAACATTGCTGCTACAGTGAAAAATACCACTCTTTATTGAATCCTATTAAAAAACAACTTGTTTTTCAAAGTCCATTCCTTCATTTCTTTTTAGGGTGTAGACACCCAGCACTTTCATTTTTAAAATAAGAAAAGATTACTATTCATTGCAGTAGTCTATTGTAGAGCAGCTGGAGAAAAAGTAACATCAAACATTTTCAATAAATCTTTGCAATTTCAAGCAGATATGACAACAAATCTGTTCTGTCATAGCCTGTCAGCAATTGAATTTGCACTTAATATCGATACACTAAGACACCGAAAACAGAAATTCCCTGACCAAATCATGGAGCTCCCTGAACACTGGTCTACATTTAAAATGTTCTGTATCATGTAAAAAAAGCAGCACCCAAGAACAGCTTACAGAAATGACAAAGTAGGACATTTTGAATTGTATTCAAGCACCCCAGAGGCTGCCAAAGCAACTGAGTCGACATGTTCATATTTCTCTGAAAAAAAGAATTGTTGTGATTTTCTGCCTTTTTAGGGAGGGGGATAAACAGAAAAATACCTCCCTCAAAACAGCAGAAATCTCTCTCCAAACTGATTTATGCTGTGAGCATTTTATTTTCCTCTTCAATAAGTAAAGATTACAAACAGCAAACAGGAGCATTACAGGTACAATACTTGAATGTGATACCTTGCAAAGACTCTCAATTATTTTTCTCTGTAAACACTCCTCTCCATACAACAGCCTTGGTATTTGTGACTGCCTGTATTTCAGTAGCATTAGAGCCATCAAAGATATCACTAAAACCTTATCAAATTTGTCTTGTTTATGCTTCTTCCACTTCAATAAGTAAAGGTGCATTATGGAGTATATTTGCTCTCAAAGACTGCAAATACTGATTATTGAGATGAGCGTGAATACTTCCAGATTTGGTATTTAACAATTAACAGTATGTGGTTTTTGCTTCAGAATTACAATGTTGCTTCTTCAATCTATTTAATTGCTCACCACTGACAATTTCTTTCAGTATCAGGCAAACGGAGCGAAATTAATTAAAGCATCTAATCTGACAAAGCCTCAATTCTGTTTTCTGGGGAAAGACACATATTAAGCATAACTCAGCCTGCACAAACACACAAATAAGACTTCTATAAATCTGAGTTTAATTATTTGCAAACAATCATAATATGTGGTCACTGTAGATTAGATTTATACAGTTGAAAATACAAATAAACAGAAAAAAGGACATCATTTGTCAAAATGCATCATTTGACTGAAAAAACTAAGTATGTTTGAGGGCGCTTTTACCTATAAGCTGTAGAACAACGTTGACTTGACTTGTACTTAACTAACACTGCTATTGACCCATTGTAATTACAATTGATTTGGTTCTGATTTTGCTTACACCACTCCAAGTCTACCCGTTTTCTTGGACTGCTGCCCTCCTTCAACCCAGGCCAACCCAGGAGGAATCCCACTGAAAAAAGGGCAAATTGCCTGATTGTGAGTTCAGTGCGGTTACAAGATGGGAGTATTTCCCAGGACACGGCCAGGTGGTGTAAGAGCTTTCTCCGCCTCAACCCAGAGGTCTTTCTTCCAGATCACAAAGAGGGTGGAGGCTGAAATGTGACGATACATCCAGCCCAAGGCGTGAAGAACTGGAATTCAATCTCTCCCTGGGCACTTGTGGTTTATCCTGGTAAGGGCTGGGTACTGAGGCTGAGTAGCGTGACCCGAATCGCACCCAGGATGAACACACATTAAGGGAACCAATACTAGCTCTTACTACGTAGTTCACTGAACAAAGCCAGGGTAGGTTATTCCCTCTCCTCTCCTTCATTCAGTTCCTTCTGGTTTTTTTTTAATATATCATTTGTGATGTGCCCTTCCACAAACCTACAAATAGGCACTTACATTCAACCATCAGAGCTAGAAAGAAATTTTGTGATGAAATGGATTTCTGTCAGTGTATTTTCATTTTTCTTCACTCAGACTGTTTACACAGATGTACCAATTCCTATAGATTTTTGATCGGATCTATTTTGTGAGGTCAAAGGTAGAACTTCTAGGTAAAAGCTGAGAGCTACCAAGAGACTGAACACAGGGCTGCTCAGAGGAAAGGTGGAGACCCAAAGCCTCATCCTCCACCGGGAACTCATCAGTGCCTAACCCTCTCCCTGGTGCCTGCGGGCTCTCCCTTAGCCCTTTCCTTTGCTCAGATGTGGAACAAGGTCACTTCAGAAATTTTAGTAAGTTCTGCAGGATGGGAGAACCTATCTAATGCTCTCCAGCCTTCCTGTCTTTCTTGTGTACTTCGCTGCTTTGAAAAAAGGTTCACTTCATCTACGAAATTTGTTCAATGATAAACACTCTGTGGTCACTAAAATTTAACACCTATTAAAAATATCTTTTCTCCTCATTTATTTGGCTTTATAAGAGAGCTGCTCCGTATTAAAAAAGCATATAGTGGCGTGGCCAACTACTATAAACAAAAGAAAATATAGCAGAAACTGCAATAATGTCCACTGATTATAATTATCGATAGTAATAATAATAATATCACAATTTACATCTGTGTATTGCAAAGCCTTCTGCTCTAGCAGCTTGAACTCTTACTTTTTAAAGTTTTATAGCAGGGAGACAGAGGGATTTATCCATCACTATCCACCTGGTAAAAACAGAAACGCTGACTCTTCAGGCTTAGCCTGGGCTGAGTCTAGCAGAAGTATGATTTCTGAATTCTCTCCATAGTTTTTCCACTGATGCGTTGTGAAACCCTGGCAAGCTTCCAGGCCTTTTATGGTTTTTTTTTTAGATGAAGAAAACATTGCTAATGCTATTTAACTTTATGAGGCATAACTAGATCATATTTGAAAGATCGTACGAGATCTTCAGATGGGTGAGCACGGCTAGCAGGGTGCAGAGCGGGGCTGGGGGAAGGTCCTGGTACTCACGAGGGTTGTTTGGTTGTGAATCCATGGGGATCATGAGCTTGGCACGGGTGGCTCTGCGGGCAGCAAGCGAGCGCTCCAACGTGGACATGCTGCTTCCAACATCTTCTGTCTCGGGACCTAGAGAAAAACAACACAACAGCTCAGTTGAAAATGCTGTAAATGAATGTTTCTCTTCACCCTATACCTAGCAGAAAGATCAATAGGTTTTTTTAGAATTCAGTTCTTTTAACTGACCATTAAATATCATCGCCTGCAAAGAGCTGCACAGACTATTTTGGCTGCCTTTTCTGAATAAAATTATTGTTTGCATTTTTCAGTAAGAGAATCAAGATATCATGTCCCCTTTTTCTTTGTCTCTTAAATTAGCTTGAAAATCCCATTCACTTCACAAAAATATGACATCTTTCTTGTAACTTCCTTGTAATAAAGTTATTTTAAAATTCAAGTATCAAGACCAGAAAAAGGCTGCATAAATGCAGGTACCTACAAAGCCTAGCAGCCAAGAATTGGTCTTTGAAATACATCTGAAGGATGAAGGTTTCCTTCCTTGTGAGATGCCACAAAGTCCTATGTCCTGATTGTCCAGTAATTCATGGCAGCTCTTCCAGCCTGTGCATCTTGTTTTTTCTACAGAAACCATGGCAAGTTAAAGATGTGCCTGGATCTTCCCATTATTTGGTCCTGGATCACAACTAGCACATCTAAATCAGAGCTGAGATACGCTGCCTGATGTCCAATCCAATTCAAAACTGTCCCAGCAGCTACATAAATTAGATATTCTGTTTAGGTATTGAAATATGGATGCTCTAATTTAGTCACATTTAGTATAGGATACTTGAAGTATTCAAAAATTCTAGAGAATACGCTTGTCAGAAAGAAAGTGTGCTTGGAACTGGGTGTTTGGTGGAGTAATTTGCAAAAGCTGTATTTCTCACTTCATACCTTGTCTCACATGAACCTTATATTTATGTTACTTTTGCTATTTTAATAAGCCATGGCTGAAGTCAGTTTAATACTGTCATACAGTTAAGCTTAATACCCACTCAGAATATTCATCTCTGATGTACCCATGCAAACACATATTCCTTAAAAAAGAAAAAAAAGATTTGCATGAAAAGACTATTTTTTTTCCCAAACTGCTCTTCTCTGAATTGCGGGACTGAAATGCCAAGTTTTCCATCGATGGCCACTCAAAGACATAATGGCTAGCGAAAAGCCAGGGACAGTATTACTGAACTGTGTATTACAGAATGGGAAGAAACATAAAGGCATTTATTCACTGTCCAAGGCGTTTACACATAAAATATCTAGCCCAGCCTTTGTCATTAACTTGCTCATATGCTGTGATGGCTTCCTACCAGGCACTCGATTGCAAGCCTACTGCAATCAATGAAGCTCTCACACTGATCTTTCTGGGCCCTGGGTCAGCTCTCCTGATCGCCAGCAGTATCTGTTTAGGCAAAGGGAATCTTCTGGTTATGTTTTCCCAATGTCTAATATAACGAGGACCTTGGCATTAAAACCAACAGAAATCATTGTCACAATTATCTTCTAAATAGTAAACTATCAGCCCAAAACACAATGTCAGAAAAAGAAGATTAGATCTGTTTAGAAATGTGAAAACCGTTCCTTTTTAACTTTTCTTTCCTTGCAAGAACAGGAGCTACGGAAAAGGGATAAAAACATCAGAGGCATCTGAAAAAGTCACCTTCATTATTTACAGCCCCAACCGATATTCTGGAATTACCTCACTCCGTCACCCACGAGCAGAGTGTTCATGATGAACTCAAGACAAATATGTTTATGTTTTCAACTTCCGTGCTGTGTTTCGCCCTCCGTCCCGCTCCGTACACACCACCTGCCTCTCCCAAGGCTTTCTATTATTACGGTGGAAAAAATGTTACCAGCTAAAGTGAAACCTGTGGTGTGCTGTCTGCGCTAAGGTTAAAAAAAGCAGAAGGAAACTTCACTGAAACCACGTTTTTCTTACAGAATTTCTTTCTTCATATCTGCAAGTTTTCTCAGTCTCCCTGGCCCAAATTCTGCTCCCGGTGACGCTGCTGACCTTCTCCCGGACCATGTTCTCCCTTTGCTTCACTTTTCATTTCTTTTTTCCCCCACTTACTTCTCCATGCCCGCTTTTTCCTCTCTGTTTTTCTTAGCACAGTATGCAAATTTAACAACATTTGACTTCCAGTTGAATTCCTGAACTTAAAAAATCAGAATGGTGTAAAAATAAAAAACGATGGGTTTTCCCCTAGTCTGAAACCACTGCAAAAATCATCTAGGACCATCTCTCCCGGCACCCACAGCAGAGCTGTCAATTCTTCCAATCTCCTCCCGGCTCTTGCCAGGTTTAGCGGTCTGTTAGAGACTCCCCGTGCCGGGCTAAGTCACTAACCAGCAATATCAAATGAAAGAAAATTTATATGCTGGTGGTGGAGGAAAAAAAATTGGAGTACATGGAAGAGGGTTGGACTACATGACCTTTAAGGTCCCTTCCAAGCCAAACCATTCTATGATTCTGATTCCAATTTCCCCGTATCTACAGAAAACCAGCCAATCTCTGTCTCTCCGGCCCTCGGAGCCCCTCACCGGGCTGCGGGGTGCTCTTGCTGCCCAGCTGCGTTTCCGACTGGCTGTGGCTGACGGGGGTGATGTCCTGGCAGCTCTGCATCGGGGAGTCCCTTCCTGCGGGGTCCGAGCCCGTCGGCTTCTCGATGTTCTTCATTTCCATCTCCTCGTGGTGTATCCACAGATCCGGGGGTCTCAGGTCCTTCTGGCTGCCCTTCCTTTTACCAGCGCTGTGGGTTGCACGTTTTCTGCAGCAAAGAAAGATCAAAACCGGCACGTGAGAACATTTTTCCCCTTTATAAGGCCAAAAGAGTGATGTCTCCTCATTGGTGTCTCTCTAAGGAGCCCCTCTGGTTGTGTCCTTCAAAGGACAGCAGTTATCTTGGTGTGCTCCTATGCTTCCCGGGGTTTGCTCCAGGGGATGGCCTGGGGCTCAGCAGGGTGGGTCATTTTTTGCAGCCCTTGATGTAGAAATTGGGGAAGACCACTCTTCTGGGAACAGAAGGGAAGTGGCCAGTTTCATCTCGGGACGAGCAGCACTTGTGGCGTGCCTGCACCTAAGAACAGCGACTGAAAACCGCTGAGCTCACTTCTACCAAGTTATGTGCATCTTATACCTCCTGTAACTGCGTGCAGCGTAAGTTATAGTTCTTTAAACATACACTAAAGCAGTATTTTTATTCCAGAAAAGCTCAGCAATCCAGAGTAGCATCTCCCAGAGCAACATTAGCTCTCCTCTCTTTACGCACAGGTATTACAACACGCTCTCGTGCCAGCAGGCCCCCTCCTCCGGGGAGCACGCACCAAAGAGAACCTTGATTCCCAGGGGTGATGGGTGCTCTCAGCTACTCGTTACCCCCGTCATATGCTCACCCCGAAACACAGCCGTGCACCTCCCGAAGGGAAAG